GAGTGCACCAGCCTTCTGGAAACCAAAAGAGCTAGAGAATACTCAAAGAAAGTATACTAGAGTGTTTGGGAAAACACTGGAACAAAAGCCTCTCAACATAAAGATTTAAGTAACTCTGAACAGCTTAAGAAACTCTCATTAGCCTGAAACATAAGAACTAAACTCTGTGCATGTACTGATTTTACTCAGAGTTATCTATATTCAGTTACCTCAGAAATTTTACCCATGATTTCACCTGACCTTTCCCCCCTATGTTAAATAAAATATTTTGTTACTTTGGAATTTCAAAACATTTTTAAACACATTTTATTAGGATATGGTAAACACAAGTCAATCTATATCAAACACTTTTATACCCCTATATCCTACCCTCCTACCCTCCCCCCCCCTTTTCGGCTTCCCACATCTTGAATGTAATTTAAGTTAACGTGGACTCCCAATCCTTCCCTCAGGTTTCTGGGCTGAGCCAAAAGCCAAAATATTGTATTGTGACAGGGTGGGACAGCCAGAGTTTTTCAGGAAAGAAGAAAACACATTACTACGGTGGCTCAGTCAGTAAAGGGAAAGATGAACGGAGGGAAAATCTTGCCTCTGAGGGAGAGTAAAGGGGGGGGGGCTCATAATAACATTTCCCTATTTTGTTCTAGCGCTTTTAGACAAAGCAATAAAATTGCCTATATTTCAATAAATATGGAGTAAGAATACCATCGAACTGCAAAAGCAAGGTTTTGTTTTTTTAAATTGCTATTTACATATTCTAAATCAATGGTTCTACTTTTAAATTTCCATTACACTGCAGGACTCACTTCTAAACATATTGTACTTATTGTACTTTTCAGGATCCACTTATAATGTAACTCCACACTATTTCCTCCGTCCTCAACCTAAAATGCAGAAGTTTATCATGCAATACTGCACGTTGTATTTTATTTTTCATGTTTAATATGTAGCATTACTAAGCAATAAACTGATTGCATAGCCAATTTGTAGATTATGCAAAGGAAATCCCAAGTTTGCCATTGAGCTGCTCTTCTTCCTCTTTCAAGGCCTCACAAGTCGCCTGAGAATTGTGACTAACTTTTGGGTCCCAACCCACTCTTGAGAACCACTGTTCTAAATAATCATAAACTATTTACAAAGCTTACCATATTTGAAGTTTCAGTGTTGTATCATTTAATGAAATTGTTTTTACTCTGAAATCAATGCCTAAAAGAAAAAAGAAAATGCTATTTTATTAAAATTAAAAAATGGAAACAAATCAAATAAATTATAATTGTAAAAAGTATACAAAAATTCATATAATCTGTATTTTTCTTTGGACTTTACCAAGCAAAGTACACAGGAAAATGGCAGTGTTCATAGAACAAGAATTCCAATGCCTCTGTTTCTCTATTAAAGCCTTTTCTAACTCCTTCAGAGAAAATCCAAAGCCCAAACCCCTACAATGCCTTTTATTATGGCCAACCAAGATAACACAAACTACCTAATAATAAAGTTGGATCCACTGGGATTTTTGGGTGATGGGGGGGGCTAATTTTAATCAATTCTTCCCTCTCACTGCAGACCTCCAGCTCCTTCTGTATCCTGTTCCCAGGGGTCATCTGCCCCTGCCAGATTAGCATTTGGAAACATTTTGGACCACAATGGGAGAGAGGAGGTGAGAAAGTCACTTCCATCATCGAAGATATTTCCACAGAATTCAAGGCCAGGGAGGGGGAAGGATGGGTGGGTAAAGGAGGGAATAAAGAGCAAAAGACTTGCCTAATTTCTGATTCTGCACTAACTACTGTTGGATTAGGGGGCAACATGATCAGACATGGCAGGCTTTTGGACTACAATTTAATTGATAGAACGAACATTACATGAAGTATAGTTTGTGCCAAACATGTTGCTATGCCTATGCAGAGTGGACTATAACTTTCTTTTAGGAAAACATCTTGTTATATAGAATTATCTACACAATGTGACATTTATATAGGTTTGTACAGAAGCCAGAACATCAGTCAAGAGGGGCCTGGTATGTAACAGGGTACAGGAAGGTCATTCTCAAACACAGAGCTGGAAATACTTAAAAATAATAACTCAGTTGGGGATTTCCAATCCTACAGGAAAACATTTTCCATTTGACATAAATTTTAATAATGAATTGACATGAGCATTTTTATTTATAAAACAAGAACTAAAGAGTGCTGAATCAGGTGAAAATTTAATCTAAATTAAAATAAGGCATATTGACTTCTTAAATCAACTTTACATTTATTGACCTAAAAGGTCAATGAATGTTAGTGAAAAAGAGAAGTCAATAAGTATTGCATGCATGATTTGTTCATAGCTTTATATAAAATTTTAAACAAATTTCTGAAATAGACAAGGCTGGAAGGGGAAAAATGAGAAATGTAGTGTCAAACGCCAACTACACTGCAGATAAATACTAAGCCACAGTATTATAACACAATATATGGTCATCAAAAGTAAACTACCATTGATTACTAACCAGATAAATGCTATTTTATCGTACTATATTTGTTTGTATTTTCATCTTGGCTTATTCTATAATTATAAGTGCACAGCAATCCAAAACCAATTGTAAGAAACATTTTCAGACTTTTATAATAATTTGACTTTTTTTTTGTTACAAATGCAAGGATTACCCAGTTTAGGCAGGAGCCTGATAATTCTAAGGCTTCCACGACAGACTGTGCCATGGGTCGCCCATTATCCCTTCAGTGCTGTTAGGGCCCATTCATTTCTTCAACGGCTACACTACGGAACAACAACTTCATTTTCAGCTTCTTGGGGCAGAAAGGAGTGATGCCACAACAAATGAACAAACTCAGCTCTTCTCTACAAAGGAGGGTTGGTATGAATTCCACAGCACAGGCAAAATCAAAATTTACTGCTCCACCCTTCTTCCTTGTAAATGAAGAAGCCAGCCTTATGATAGATAGGTAGGATACAGGGACAGGAAGAAATGGCTGGTGGTTTGCCTCCCCGGTGTGAAGGTAAGAGAGACTTCTCCCACGCCGTCACTGTGGGCATAAGGAAGACTAGTATCTGAGCAAATGACATCACTTTGAAGTGCAGGTCTATAATGTGTGTGCAAGTGAGAGAACATTTTTGTCACAGGTCTCTATGTGCCTTGTTACGTTCACATGTGGCGGCATAACTGCATACTATTTGAGAGTGAAGAGAGTGAACAAAGAGATTCCCAAGTACGTGTGCGTGAATTAAAGACATTCTGCAGATAATGCAGAAAGAAAGGAACAGTGTCAAAGACTGCTTGTGCGACATCTCCTCCGCTCATGCTTGTCTGCCTCCATCCAATGTTTTTACTATCTACAACAAAAACTCAAAATGTAAGGAGTATTCTTTGGTGCCTGTTTCTATTAATCCAAAATTTAAGTTTCATCTCAAAAGCATTTTGAGATTTCTATACATATTTTGTATACAATATCTTATAGCATTACTGTGAATTTCACAAAGAGGAAATATGTCATGGAAGTATCCTAAAACTTATTTGGCAAGGAATTTCCATGTTCACTTGGACATGCAAATCTTTTCCCCCCATAAACTTTCCCCCTGGCATTCAACGAGGTGCCATTGTTTAAACAAAAACAGTTATTCTTTATAGTCTGCTATTCTCAATGTGATGAGTCTGCCTTATGATCCGTATAAGTTTAATTAGAAAACTATAGCTGCTTATAATTCACAAAAACTGCATAATTGAAGAGGAAGAAGGGCAACCATCCCTGAGAGTTTAAGTGCTGAATAAAGTGCTTTCAATGAAAATTTACTGTGAATGCATTTTTATTTTTAAGAAAAGCAAATCTTGAACAGCTAAATGCTACTATCCACAGCTGCAACACTCCAAAATATTGCTAACAAACTAGCAACGCACAGCTAAAATCTGTGGTTGTGAGCAGGATTTGATATTTACCAAGTACAGGAGACAAAGATTCCAGAGCACTGAGGAATGAAATTTTTGCATATTAACCTTGTTGCTGGGTAGTCCCTTGCACCCTAGATAAAAGAGATGGGACTCCCTCTAGGTAAAAGCTAATTTGGAAGCAGGAAAAAGACTTATGCAACCTATGGAAATTTACAGTGCATTCTTAATCGTTACACATATTTAAATCCTCTAAAGCTTATGGGCTTGGAAGGGTGTAACTCTGAGTGATAATGTGCCTTCTCTCCAGTCTACACTGTTTGCTGTACATTTAGGCTGCATTCACAGTGTACGTACAATTGCAACATACCCTTTTGTCTGCCATACAACAAGGATTGTGCCTACAGGGCAAATAAAGTTTACAAACCAGACAAAGAACTCCTATACAATCTTTAATAGTTCCTATCTACAGATTAAGCAAAAACCGAGATAACCCCAGTTATACAATTTGACACTCGACTGCTCTCATGGGACAAGTAGCACTTGCCTCCTGGGCAAACATCTGCAAATCAAATGCAATTGCCTGCCCATCCCTTCTGCTGCCTACCCATTTCTGTCCAAAACTGGCAGTCACCATAGTACTACATAAGGTTTCCATGGTGAGGGAAACTTCAGAAGCAGGCTATCACTACGAGTTGCGAAACAATCTCACCTGCTAGGAGAAGGCAAACACAACATCCATATAACTTTGTTACAGTTTATTATTATTATTATTATTATTATTATTATTATTATTATTATTGATGATGATGATAATAATAATAATAATAATATACTTTATTGTCATTGTACATAGTACAATGAAATTAAACATGCAATCATTTCGGTGATCTACAACCATACTCATATACACTCACACAACCATTCACAACCATCCCATAACTCCCTTAAGGTTCACATTGCAACTTAAACCACCAATGTCACCCAAATTCCAATTTCAGACAGCATTTAAAGCAATAATAGCTCTCGAATAAAAACTATTTTTTAATCTGTTTGTCCTTGTTTTAATTGTCCAATATCTTCTACCCAAAGGCAGCAGTTCAAACAGGGAGTGTTCCTTTCCCAGTAAAGGAAACAAAGCTAGAGGTCCTGCCAATCTCACTATGACAGAAAGCAGAATGACAACTCACCAGGTACATTATCAGTGCATTATAAGCAGAGTTACACCCTTCTAAATCCATTGACGTCAATAACTTAGAAGGGTATAACTCTCCTTAGGATTGCTTTGTATACCTCTTGAATGATAAACAGAATGACACAGGATGAGCCAGCACCAGTACTGATCCTGACACCATGCCAATGCAAGCACACCAATCACACCAACAGTTATGCCAGTCTGCAGATTCTGCAACTTGGCTGTACATTGCAATGTAGCTGACATACAACAGATGCAGATTGTTTTTACACTGGCTACACAGCAACGCACAACCAAGCTGTGGATTTTCACCTGCAAACACCCAGCCTTAGATACGCTTTAGCTAGGAAACAATTTGCTAAAGAGGATTTTTAAAACCAGACACATAATAGAGCTTTTAAATAGCAAGTCTAGCTGAAAGAAAGGCTATGCTTAGTCCAAAGCAGGGATAAAGCTGCTGTATCTAAAACCTTAAAGAATTAGCTTTGGATGATATTGCCAATATGATCACTTTAGAGCATGAAACATTCTGATTAGTATCTGCTTTAACAGTAAAATGCTCGCTCAGGTATAACTTATTCTTTAGATGAAAATAATGCTTGTTTGTATCCCTTCATTTCAAACCAAAAGAACGCATTTTATATATTGCACATGCATGCACACACACTAACAAATCCTAGTACTCTTGGTCATGTCCCTGTAAAAACTAAGAGGCAGGGGAGGCTATGCAAACAGGAGAGAGGGAGCAGAAGAGCAGCTCTTCAGGACACCATACCTCTTGCTCAATCCCAGGCCCATCCTTCCCCTACTTCTACTCCCAACAGAGAGGCAGGGTCTAAGAGGAGAAGTCATCACCCTTCACTCAGAATATTCCAGATGAATTTGGCCTTCAAGCCTTGGTTGGACTCTGCATGGGTGGAGAGATTCCCCCCCCCCCGCATAAGCGAAATACAACCAAGTAACCTCCACCACAGTCCAGCAAGACCAAGAAGACATCTACCAGGCACGATATGTGCACTTGTTCGCTGGGAAAGTTCCACTACTGTCTCTGAGCACCACTGAAGGGGGTGAGGGATGTGGTGCCTTCATGTGGAAGTCTCAAAAGGTGACAACCAGGACAATTGGGCCGCTATAGCCCTGTACAACACTGTACAAAAAATCCTTCAGCAGTATCTTCTGACTGGTCCTTAGTTGTGGATTCTAAAAATGCATTTGACTATGATGAGTCTCATCACATGAGAGATTTCCCCCCCCCGCGCATAAGCAAAATACAACCAAGTAACCTCCACCACAGTCCAGCAAGACCAAGAAGACATCTACCAGGCACGATATGTGCGCTTGTTCACTGTGAAAGCTCCACTACTGTCTCTGAGCACCCCTGAAGGGGGAGAGGGATGTGGTGCCTTCACTTTTTACATTGCTGTCAAACACTTTTTACATTGCTGTCAATGACTCAGCATGTAGAATGAGAGAGGTGATTCATATTATTAGTTTTCGCTGCTTTCCCCCCTTGCGCTTGG